AAAAAAAAAAAAAAAAAGATCATACATGCATGTTAGTCAGGGGCTTTTTTAGTTCCAAATGATGAAAACTCTTCCTTTAACTTAGGAGAATATAAACAAACCCCTTCATTTTATCAGACTGATGGTCCCATCTATTTTAAGATGCATCTACCCTGTGCCCACGTTTGTCCGCATGAACATCACTCCCAGGTCAACTGAAAACATGTTAGTCATAGAGTTAGTTATGTTCCCCAGGTTATAAAGTCCCTGAGGGCGTGTGCCTGCGCACCTGTGCATTTCCCATGACACCTGCGACAGGCCCTTTGCTAAATGAAGTACAGAAACGAAATTATTTTGTACCCATTTAGACAAGGAGACAATTGCTCTTCATTATACTAAATTCTGGACTTGTTTAACGTGTATTTTTCAGGTAGCTTATTTAAAACTCGATGTACCTCTTGTGGAGTTGTGGCCGAGAATTACAAGAGTCCAATTTGTCCAGCTTTATCAGGAACAGGGTAATTTACGCTGCACTTCAGAATAAGTATATGTTGTTTTCTTCTTTAAGGCGAACATAAATGTGGGAAGTTGAACATTAATCAAAGATTCCCATGGGTATTTATGAGAATTAAGACTAGAGACAGTTCAGTGATATGATAAAGAGAAGTATTTTGCTTAAAATTCATAATGTTAAGTGAAAAACATGGGGTACCAAACTGTGTACAATATGACCCCAAGTTTGTATCTAAGCGTGCATGCACGCACGCTTGCCACGGTTGTGGATAGTACACAGTTAAAAGACTGGGAGAGAGATGAGGTATATATTAACCAGTGTGATGTAAGCATTCCTAATTCTATATGAAATCAGCACAATGTACCCCATAAATGCATTAATGTATACATGATCTATGTGTTTATGATTTAATTTTTAAAAATAAAATAAAATAATGAAAGACTGGAAGAAAATACGACAACATGTTAATAGGGATTATCAGGAGTGGAAGGGTTATGGGTAACTTTTATTTATTTCTTACAGCCTTCTGAATTTTCCAGCATTCCTATAAGTGTGTACTATTATTATAATTAGGGAAAAATTTGAGAGTAGATTCAGAATATCAAGAATAACTCTATTGTGCCATTTTAAGACAGCATAAATTATATAACTAATATGTAAGTACAGTGGCATTGCAGAAGATTCAAATGGTGATGATGATGAAGACCAATCAGAAAGCTCTCCCTTAGCTCCTCCCACATACAGACACCCCCACCCCCACCCCCCTACCCCCGGCATGTAACAGCCACTGGTGGTTAATGCCTGGGGTTAGGAATTTTGTACCACATTCTGCCAGGCAAATATACAAACTTATTGGGTTATATTGTTTCTTTGTTTTTTTGATTATACCATTAACATTCTTTTTTTTCTAATATTGTTCACTACAGTGCTCCAGAACCTGAAACTCAAGAAGCCAGAATCCCAGTTGAGAAACTTCCGCGGTAGGTTAAAAAGAAAAAGCTTTGATTTGTTTTTGGTGTCCCAGATTATAAAAAAAAGGAAAGTTAGGAGTCAAAACCTAAGTATTTATTTGGTGACATGCCTCTTAAATCAAATGCAGAAATGTAAAAACCAGCCTTTGACCTCTGAGACCAAAGGCAGAAGGACAAAGGGTGAATGAACCAAACCAGAGTGAAAAGAGCAGTTTCTTTCCCATCCCTTTTTGTTTTGTGTTGTGGGGGCATAATTTGAGGTCTGAGAAGTTTCAGAAACTGGATCAGGGGGAGGCTGGGAGCTGCCTCAAACCCTGCCCCAGCAAACTGTTAACATACCACAACCACTTTTTAGATGGCAACAACAGACTTCAGTGATTAGATGCTTAGAGAAGTCCTACAGTAGAGCAAATGTGTTGTAACTTTGGTTTAATGTTTCCGTATTTATTTCAGCACATAACTTTTTTTTTTTCAAGTAATGCCTATCAACGTGGCATGGAATTTGTTCAGTGAAAAACTTTTGAAAGTATTGTTTTAATATCTGGTCTTGAAAAACTGAAATAAAAATCTTCTTAGCCTGAAGAAAGTTCTTACATTTCTCCAGGGGCAGGGTTTGGGGCAGCTCCTAGCCTCCCACTGATCCAGTGGGCTCCTTACAGGAGCAGGGGGGCTGGTATCCTCTAACTGGTCAGCTAATGTCACCAGAATTATTAATCCAGGATTAGGCAGGCAACAGAAGTTCTTGAAAAGGGAAATTACAGGATCAAACAGAATTTTTTTAAATTTTATTTTTTAATTGACAAATACTGATTGTACATATTCATGGGATACATACTGGTGTTTTAATATATATAAGAGATAGTGATTAGATCAGAATAATTAGCATATCCATCATGTCAAACATTTATCATTTCTTTGTCCCAACTGAATTTTTGTAGATTGAAAAAAAAAAGACTCTAGAAACAGCAGGTCCTCAACCTTTTTAGCACCAGAGACCAATTTCATGGATGGGAGTTAGGGATGGGACAAGAGGTGGAGCTCAGGCATTGATGTACATGGCCTGGTTTCTAACAGGCCACAGACTGCATAGTTCAGGGGTTGGGACCACAGGCTAAGAAGATTTTTATTTCAGTTTTTCAAGACCAGATATTAAAACAATACTTTCAAAACTAATTCCATGCTATGTTGATGGGCATTACTTGAAAAAAAATGTTATGTGCTGAAATAAATACAGAAACATTAAACCGAAGTTACCACACATTTGCTCTACTGTAAGACTTCTCCAAGCATCTGATCACTAAAGTCTATTGTTGCCATCTAAAAAGTGGTTGTGGTATGTTAACACTTTGCTGGCTTCTTTTTTTTGCAGTTTTTGGCTGGGGCCAGGTTTGAACCCGCCACCCCTGGCATATGGGGTCTGCACCCTACTCCCTGAGCCACATGCACTGCCCACTTTGCTGGCTTCTTAACCACAGAACCCTCTGTACTTTTTATATGAGGGTTTTCATTGATAGATTCTGAAGTTTCAATCTGAAAGAATGGGGAGTCCTGGGGATTCCTGTGATGTAGGAGGTTCATACGGAAATGGTGTTTGGGAGAAATGAATTTAGAAGGTTTCTAGAGGATGACTTAGAGGTAGGAGAGAGTGAAAGGTGAGAGATTTTTGGTAATGGACCCTGGAGAACTTGGCTCTGGACACTACAGATCAGGCCAGGGAGAGGTGAATCTGAGAGAAGATGAAAGGTGGATGTTGATAAAATCAGGGAAGGTTGGAGTGTTGGAGCAAAGGTGAGTCTGATATTACCCCCAAGTCTAGATGACTGTGAGCACAGTTGTGCTAAGGAGTGGAATGAAGTCGCTGGGCAAGAAACAGCCATTTAGAAAGAGAACATCAAGCTTAGCTGAAATAGCATGTCAGCACATCACCTTAGTGCACACAGACAGAGTAAAACTTCATGAGGATGGTTAGACTTTGGACTGCATATCCAGGGTGAGTCACATGGGCAGGGAGAGAAGGGATAGGGGATAAGAAGCATCCTAGGTGACTAGGGTGACCAGACGTCCCGCTTTTGGCAGGACAGTCCCACTTCTCAACAATTTGTCCCG